TCAAAAAAGCTATACTCTAAGGATTACAACTATCTGCTTTATATTTAATTTTTTCAAAAAAAATTTTTCACATAAATTGCAATTTTGACAAAAAAAAATCGAATAACTCATAAACAAAATAAAATTTCGTTGTGAAAATACGATCACATTTTTTATATTACTTTAATTTATATTAATTATTATTTTCTGGAGGCAAATGATTAAAAATAAAACCGCTTGGTTCCATACTTTATATTCACCCTGTATGTGCTAAACTCATATACAAATGTGCTAACTTGGCGAAGTTACAGTATTCATATTAAAAAATTTTTGAAACTGTGAAAAAAATTGAGATTTTTACTGATAATGTTAAAAAACCCTTGATTATAAAGAAAAATTCAAAAAAAAACCTTTTTCCCTTTTTGTTAGAAAAATCCCTAGAACTAGGGAAAAATTCCTTAATCTGGCATCACTGGTTAAGTCACCTGTCAACAACAAGGGGTAACCATTTCTAAGCATTCAAAATTACTTCTGAAAATTCTAGTGACAAACAACATGAAAAACGTAATTTTCCTAAAAGTTGAAATCCTAGGTGGTAATTTCTTGTTGACAAATCTGTATGAATTTAGCTGAAAAGTAGGTTTTGAAGGAAACAGGTTTCTAGTCCAGCGTTTGTGAAATGTTCAAGAACTGGTTGATCTTTATACAATTTATTTAAATTACTTAGGTACACATAAAATTAATAAATAATCACAGATAGTGCAATAAATATTTTTCTACTCGAATTTGTTGAGAAAGGGCGCAATCGAGGTGATGTCTTCACAATCGGGGATGATTTTGCCCTTAAATTTGACACAAGCGTCGGCGCACAGCTGGCCCTCAAAATAAGGGCCGAACATTTTCTTGCATTGGGCGCAATTGCGAATGCAGACACCTAAGAATTTCAGTTTTATGAAAATTCCTGAAAAACGTGACTTACCGATTGGGTTCGCGTCCACGACGAGCGACGAAGTGAAGAGTAGCAAAAGGACGAGGAAATTTCTCGAGCCACTGTCCATCTCGACTAAATCTTAAATTTTTCAGAAACATTAAGACAGTAGCGATGTTGTCTCGAAAGCACATGCAAGCCGACTAAAATTGCCACGAATTTCATCTCTCTTTAAAGAAATGGGAAACAAAGAATGTGGTGGTGAAAATTGAGCCTTGTAAACAATTTCAGATTTTGTAGTATTTACCGTATTAGAAGTTGCGCGCAAGGACGAAGACCCGGATGTGGGAGACAAGTTCCGCGATTCATTTTTACACCAATCAATTCGTTTTCAATGCCGGAAATCGGCCAAATTCACACAAAAAATCGAGTTTAACCAAAAACTTCGTTTTTATTCATGAAAGTTCATTAACATTACTCGGAAGTCGAACAGGATATAGGTGATTCCCACGAGACTTGTGTCAAACTTACTTGTTTGCAATGACAAGAACAGGCTTTTTTAATGGGACTTTAATTATGTTTCTATAAAAAATAAACATTGAAAGCTTACAAAAACTTACTGGTTGTTTCCGAGAGCGAGAACCCGACTAAACCTTGCGAATTTCACCCGATTTATATATTTTTTCGTTAAGTGCAATCGACGGGATGGTGATGAAATTACAGCGTTTAATTAATTCAATTTGAATTTGGCGCCCCACTGCTGCCACCCATATCCAAAACTAGCCTGCTTGGTTTAGTTATTTTCCGTAAAGTGCAATCGACGGGGCATTTCAGTGCGTTTAATTAATTCGATTTGAATTTGGCGCCGCAGTGTTGCCACCACCGGCGTCCTTTCCCCTACTCTTCCTGGTAACGACCATAACAGTGCTTGTACATTATTTAGGTTAACAAGTTTAATGAAAACCACAAAAAAATCCCCATTTTTACGAAAATAACTCAAACGCAATACTCCCATCATGGTAAGTGTGCAAGGGGGCGCAAGACCCGCCCCTTATAACCGAATTATGTCACTTGTAGTGACTTAACCTAAACGCGATGATGATATTGAATAATTTGTGTTTTTCCAGGACGTGTTTTTAATGATTCGGAGAAAGAAACTGACGATTTTTACTGACGCTAAAGACACCACCACCGTCCTTGAACTGAAAAAAATCATTGAAGGTGGGATTAGGTGTTTTTGTTGGGCGTTTTTCAGTTTTTTTTTCAGGGATTTTGAAAATACCGCCCCAGGATCAACAATTATTCAATAAAGACAACACGATTATGGAGGACGACAGGATGTTGCAGGATTATGGACTCACTTCGGCCACGGCCAAGGCACAGAGTCCAGCCACAGTGGGCCTGGCAGTGAGGTTAGATTTTTTATTTGTTGCTTAATCACTTGTTTACGTATTTATTGTTTTCTCAAGTTTATTTGCATTCTTTTACGGCCATTGTATAGTTGGTTGCATAACTGAACACATTAATAGTTGGTGACTAAAAGTCTTCAAAAGTAGTTGCAAGTTAAAGCCGTTCATTTGTGATTATAAAGTGCTAAAACCGTTCACTTTTAACAATTAAATGCTAAAGCTGTTCACTTTTGAACGTTAATCATCAAAATAGTAAACAAATAAAAACAAATACAAAATCTATTAAAAAGTGCATGAGTAAAACTGGTCATACCGAAATGATAAAATAGTAATCTACCATGTCGGTAAAACTTTAGTTCAAGTGATAGCTTACAGACGTCGCTATAGTTAGTAATTCCCATGGCCTACTTCATTATTACTTTAGTTTACATTTCTCGATTTTACTTCCGTTAAAAAATAAATAATTTAACAATGGCTTGAAAGTAACCTAACTAAAAAATAATTTTAATTGATTCTCTAGTCTCTTGATTCGTAGTTTCCTCAAAAATTGAGTGAAAATAGTGGTGGATTTATGCTTCCACGTTTAAGATTTATTGTTTATGATTTAATTTAAGAATTAACTGATTTGACATTTTACTAAATTTTGGAATTTATACTTCTAAATTAACCAAAAAGTACTTACTTTAAGGATACACCGATGTAAATCTCGTATTTTACACAAACATAAGTTAAATTAGTCACGATTTGTGACAATCTATAAACTATATTCTCTAACAGTTTCCACAAGTACAGTTGGAGACAAAATACTTTGGTAGTCAATGTCACTTAAGTAACATTAAATTGTAAAGTATTCTTTAGGACTGTTAACCTTATTTTTAGCTACTGTCGATCATAGTTGACAAGTTGTATGTACATATTTTAAATCTTGAATTACATTAAAGTGTCAAAAAAGTGACGACCAGTATTTTGTCTCCAACTGTACAACATCTTACTATTTCAGAGAAAATTTTTACTTTTCAAGTGTGATTAATGTCAGTAATGACAAGGTTCTGACACTTACAGATTTTATCATTTTTATTTGTCATTTAACGTAAAAAGTTAAAAGTTGGGAACTCTTAAATAAAATTAAATCTGAAATACTAAAGCGTAAATCTTAAATGATAGTATAAATAAATGTTACCATAGAAAAAAAAAGATCTTCTTAAATGATAAATCTTAAATATGGAGGCATAAATCCACCATAAAAGCAAAACAAAACACTTGAAACGCCAAATATATTATTATACAGTTATAAAACACACAAAAACAAAAAAATGCCAAGTAAAATAAGATACCAGGAACATCTAAAAAATATTAAAAAAATTGTATCCATAAAAATTTCGAAACTGTGATGGTTTAAATTTTGCACTTTGTCTCTATTTATTTCTTTTGTAAAAATAATTTCCAAAGTTTTTTTGCTACAGGCTATTAGAAGAGGAAACAAAGAAGCTGTATCTGAATTGAAACTTCGTTTAACGTTATTTGTAGCTTTTATTGACAAAGTTTTTGTACCTTTACTGAATAATTATGAAAAAATATAATTATACAAGATCATCGGTAACAATAGACATAAAAAAATGTCAAATGTCAAAAGTTTTGACAGATAGAATTTTTAAAAAAAAATTTTACTTGGTATTGTTTGTTTTTTTTTTGTGTTTTTATAAAACATCCTGTTTAGGCTGGATTATGACAAACGCCCCAAGTCATAACTGGAATATTTTTGTATTATATCTTTTATATTGTTTTTATATCTTTAAAGATATGACAATACTTTTTAGAACAAAGTACTAAATGCTACCGTGCCGACATGAGTTATTATCTGAACCAAAGTATTACCGACGTGGTAGATTGCTACTTTATCATACTCACTTTTGACCAGTTTTACTCATACACGATTATATTGATAAGAGGTTTTGGGGATTTCCGTTTTTAGCGTTGTAATATTTTGTTTTATACTTTTTATAGATGAACTATTTTTTTTTATTTATTTAGCGTTTTTTGTTAGACGTGGCTTTAGCTTGCAACTTAGTTTTGCACGGTTTTAGGTGAGAATGTAACAACTGTTACCAAGCAATAATAGCTTTGAAAAAACGAATAATTTTTTGTTTTGAGGGAAAATGTTGTGTGTAATTCTAGAGAGACAGTTGATACGTTTGAGCACTTGGAGCTGACCCCGTATTCGGCGCCCCCCGACCTCCCCGACGTCATGAAATCTCAGGAAGCAAACGGCCAGGAGCAATCTTCCTGAATTTGTTTCGAACATCGATTTTGGAATGAATTAGACCAAAAAAGTGGTTACGAAACAAAACAAAAAATTAGTTTTCATTTTTCCTGCAATTGAATTTATTATAGGGGTAACTGTAATAAACTCAAATGATTACCGTTTTATTTTAAGTTTATTTATTGCATTAATGAAAATCATAATTATTACAGTGTTTGTATAATAATAATGTGATAGTTTTTTTATCTTAGGTAATGTAATAACAGTGTTCATATGTTTTATTGTTCTTTTTTTGTAACATAACGGCTTCTTCTACGATTTTTTGTATCATAGATTAGACTGAATTAACTTGGTGTAAACTTTTTTTTTGGGAAAGATTCCAATGCAAATTAAAAACGATTGATTTAAGAATCATTGTTATTGTTTATTTCCTGTTCAAGGCTTTTACCAATAAAAACACGAAACTTAATCACTCGACTTTTCCGTTTTATTACACACAAAAATACATTTATTTTCTTCGTATTTCGTCGAGGAGACTTCACTCGACGAATTGCAGCGTCTCCACTTCGCCCTCCGGTTCTGAAACCACGTTTTCACCTAAAACAAAGCCTTGTTTTCTCTCCCTTGTGCTGCAATGTTTGTTTACCTGTCGATCGGTAAGTTTCAACGACTCGGCCAATAATTTCCGGTCCTCAGGACTCAAGTATTTGTGCGAAGAGAAACGCTTTTCGAGGGCGTCGGTTTGGCTCGCCGTGAAACGCACTTGGCCCCCCTTTCGCTTGGAAAAGGGGCAAAACGGGGGGAAGAAGCTCAGGGGTGGGCAAGGGGGCCACAAGGGGGGCCTCGGACACAAACTGGGACAAGAAACGGCTGAAAAAGTCAATTACACAAGGCGATAAAAAAAAGTTATGTCCGTGACAACTTGACAAATTTTTATATCATTTTGTTCGTCTCAGTGAGACAAATTAAATGCACTAAAAAAATTTCAAAAAGTCCACACACTTTGAAGTAATTAATTTTTTTCTAATTTAAATGAATTTAAAATACTTTAACTTTAAAAAATCATTACTCAGTAACTATTAGGCCGATTTCCTTTAAATAAAGACCAATCTAAAGGGATGGACTTGCCCTTTAGGATGATATGAAATTTGAAATTGAATATTGGCAAACTTTTCTTCGAACAGTGTTCGAAGTAAATCGAAATAATCTAAGAAAAACCCTACGAGTAACTTTTTTTTCATCATTACCATCGTGTAGAGCATCTCTTTATTAGTTGTGATCCAAATTTTCAAAAAAATATACCGAGTAGTTTTCAAGATATGATTTTTTGAAGTTAAGGTTTGCTAATCAAGCATTGCTCCATGCATGTTAATCTTACTTAAAATTGCATTTTTATAAAAGTATTTGTTTTAAGACTCTTCTTTTGCTTAAAAATGGTCAATTGCACCTTCTTTGTTCTAATTACAATAAACAAAAACTAATTGTTTATTTAAAACAAATAAAGAGTACCTGCGTACTAATTAAAGCAAATAAAGAGTTTTTTTGTTCTAAAAATGATCACTGATCATTGAGCAAAAAGGATCTAGAAGTTTAAAGCAGTAGCTTTAAATATAAGAACAAATCTTTTTCAAATTAAATCACTTCCATTCGGATTCTAACTTGTTCACTTTGTTCTAGCTTTCTGAACTTTTTTTTGAAAATGTTCTCAGCAAATGCTTTCTCATCAGTTTCTAGTGATGTTGAATGCAATAAGTCAGTTGCTTCGTGTGCAACTGTTATCACAACAACTACTACCTACAAGCTAACTGAAGCTAATCGTAGAATGTACCAACAAAATAAATCAATTATTGTATTTAACATCACTAGAAAGTGATGAGAAAGCATTTGCTCAGAACATTTTCAAAAAAAGTTCAGAAATCTAGAACAAAATGAACAAGTCGAAATCTGAATGGAAAGTGATTTGATTTGAAAAAGTTTTGCCCTTATATTTAAGACTCGTGCCTTAAACTTCTAGATCCTCTTTGCTCAATGATCAGTGGTCATTTTTACAAGAAAAAAACTCTTTATTTGCTTTAATTAGTACGCAAGTACTCTTTATTTGTTTTAAGTAAACAAACAGTTTTTGTTTATTGTAATTAGAACAAAGAAGGTGCAATTGACCATTTTTAAGCAAAAGAAGAGTCTTAAAACAAATACTTTTATAAAAATGCAATTTTAAGTAAGATTAACATGCATTTCTCCCATATGGGGCAATGCTTGATTAGCAAACCTTAACTTCAAAAAATCATATCTTGAAAACTACTCGGTATATTTTTTTGAAAATTTGGATTACAACTAATACTCTACACGATGGTAATGATGAAAAAAAAATACTAGTAGGGTTTTTCTTAGATTATTTCGATTTATTTCGAACTTCTTCGAACACTGTTCGAAGAAAAGTTTGCCAATATTCAATTTCAAATCTCATATCATTCTAAAGGGCAAGGCTATCGCTTTAGAACGGTCTTTATTTGAAGGAAATCGGCCTAATAGTTATTGAGTAATGATTTTTTAAAGTTAAAGTATTTTAAATTCATTTAAATTAGAAAAAAAATTAATTAGTTCAAAGTGTGTGGACTTTTTAAATTTTTTTTTAGTGCATTTGATTTGTCTCACTGAGACGACCAAAATGATATAAAATTTACTTTTTTTGTCGCCTTGTGTTATTCGGTGTGACATTGATGGATGAAGTAATTATTGACAATTAAGCAAACAAATCAATCAAATTTTGACAAAATGAGTTTCCGAATAATTCTGATAACCTTGTTCAAAATTCGGTTTTTTAACCACTAGGCGGATTAAGGGCTTCCTTTGGCCGTCAAAACGTGGCGGAAGCGTAATTTTTATGGTTTGGGAAATGATAACGAATTTAAATTAAATTTAAAAAAAAATCCCCATTAAAAATTTGACTCACCTTTCGCCCTGTAGACATCGTAGAAGTGGTAAACCCTCTCGTTTGGGCCCCAATTTGCGTAGGGTTCGCTGAGCGATCTGTAGTAGTGAAAGTTGGGTTTTTGTAAAGTTTTTTGCAAAATGCTGTTTTCGGGTGTCACACAACCGGTGTTTTTGCACTTTTTTTTTTCAAAATCGTCGTTTTTTAAAATGTCTTCGATGCGGAAAGACATGACTGAAAGCTATCACCGAATGTGCTCCAATTATTTAACAATTTATTTTATGAAGTGAGATAGTGGTTTAGGTCGGGATTTACGAAGAACGTGGGGATTGGTTAGTGTTATCAAATTGCAGCGACTATTGTTTCCGTTTTTCGTTCGATTAGATCCACGGCGGGCTTCCTTCCTCACGGCTCCTTTGCTCTTATCAACGATGAGACAAGGGAAAAAATCATAAAAATGCTGATTTTTTGATATGATGGGGCAATTGAGGCAAGCCGCCACACGCAATTTGTTAAAAACACCAATGGRACATGAAAAAATGCAATAATTAAACTATACACATTTCACTTTAGAAAAATGGTTATTATAATTAACAAAAAAATTAAAAAATATGTTTGGTAAATGTGAGAAAAAAAAATGAAAAATACCAAAAACAATTTTTTAATATTGAAATCGAATTTTTCAGCAAACTTAAACCCTAGGAAAAAGTAATGCCGGACTT